TCCTGCAATGACTTGTTCCATTCTCTGGCCCTTTAGAGATTTTTCTCTCAGTAAAAACTTACCCAGTTTCATTGGAGTCTCCACATTTGCAGTACCTCTGTGCTGGGATGGTAAATTGGAGGGGTTTAAGCACCCTTAAACTGTGTAGTTTAGGGTACTTCTGTGTATGTCTGCTGCATTATTATATAGAATGTAATAAAATGCTCTCTTGCTCGGTTAGTTGGCAAGATGAGGTATTTAAAAATGAGGAATTTCTAGAAAGTGGAGGAAAAAATAATAAAAAAAGAAGGAATTAAGGCAGCAGATGAATCATCCAGGCTATGGAGCTGGCTGCTGTAGGCTGCTTTAAATACCTAATGCAAGTGTGAGTCGCAACACCCTATTACAAGAACCTGACTTGATGTTGTAGTCAGTGGATGCAGAGGGAGGGGCATTTTCTGCAGGCAGCTTAAGGCACCCAGGGCATGTGCTTGAACCCACAGCAAACATTCCTGTGTTTTCTGAAATATCGTGTGCAGCACTGGAAGGAGGGGGTTCAAACGGCCAACTCGGGTATTTTTCAGGGTCTGTTTTTATAAACTGGAAGTACGTGGAGATGCAAGTAGGGATTCAGTTCCAAAATTTCAGAAAGTCTCAACACGTGTCCTCAGATTGTCCATTAGTAAAGTCGTGTAGCATTGCTGTGACATCTGGTGTGTGAAACGCTATTTCATGTATTCTTGCAACAGTTTTGTCTATTCACACACCACCATTTTTTGCACGAAAGGGATTTTGTCACCAGGTTTGCACTAAAGCACAGGTGGGTTCCTGCAGTACCAGCCTTGTAATGCTCTGTGCAGGGAGGAGAGAGGCCCGGGTAAGGCAGCGGCGAGCAGTGGGAAGTTGCTGCATGGCGATGGGATCGATTGGTGACTCACAGGAGCTGGAGCATCGCTTCGTTTCTAGCGTGTGAAGTCTCTGCAAACAGCAGTAGTTCAGCCAGCTCTGCGCTCAGCAAAGAGGGGTTTTCATGCCTTTTTGCCATCGGTTTCTAAAATGCTGTGAATTCAGACTTGTTACACTCCTAGGAGTTTACTTCACTGTTGTATTTTCTGCAGCAGTTCTCTGTGTTGTGTTGGTAACTTTGTAAAAGAAGTTTTTTGGTCTAATTGCTTTGCAGGCTATCTGTATCGTTTTATTTAATCAGGAAAGGAATTGAACAGCCAATACTTATTCTTATGCAAATTCAGAGGAAGAATATTTTAGCTTTGTTTTTTGTTTGTAGACTGTCAGGTAATGTCGCCCTTCCCAGACTTGTGATTTCTTCCTGCTTTGCCTCACGGTTGTACCAACACTGACTCTGAATTTCCTGGGTGTTACAAAGATATGAAGATAATTCCCCTCTTCTTAACCTCTAACAGAGAATTACTATGGATTTAAGAAATTCTAAAACATTAGACTGCAGAGGAAATTAATTAACAACCCTAAATAACACCTTTGCAGTAACTATTCCTCTGTGGGTGTATTTTTTTAAACCAATGTGCATCTTTAAGCTCACAAATCCCTTAGCAAAGCGTGCAGGTGCCTCCAAAGTGTGTGTGTGCACTTGGAGGGACAAGTGCCTGCTTCTGCAGTCAGGAGTGGTGGGTATGTACAGAGTGATATGAAAAGAGCTATAAAATCGAGTGGGATGAAGCAGCTGTACAGGTAGAATTAGCAAAGCATGTGTGAGGAAGGAGGATTGAGTAGGAGATGGGCACGCACAGAAAAGCTGTGAGCAGAGCTCTGAAAATGAAAGCATCGTTTGAACTTCACGGGAACTTTGCATATTTAGAAATTAAATTAGTGTGAGCACATCTATACAGAGACTTTTACTGCAGCTTTCCTAGAAGCAGGAGCTGGCACAGCAGAGGAGGAGAAGATTTACAGCTCTGTGGTGTGCTGCGAGGGATCTGATTGAAATGCACGTACAGGTGGAGCTCAGAAGGGGCCGGTGTTAATGATGAACTGTCAGGTACTGAGAATGGTGTTCTTGCTGTCTGGAACTGGCAGTGCATAAATTAACCCTAAAGGTACCACTGAAAAGATTTGGTGAGCTCGGGTGTTGGCATTGGCGCTAGCACTGAGCAGCGTGCTGCTGAGCACAGTTCTCTGCACAAAAATGAACGTGCTGATTATACAAGATTCCAATAAATTGCACTCAGGTAATTTTGTGTGTACTTCAGTTCCTTAGACTGCTTCAGATGTTACTTCTAAGAGGTTATAAATTGGATCAGTGGCTAGATTCTCTAAAATAATTGTTTTATTCCAGCTCTCGTGCTCTGGATTCAATTCGGCTTAACTCAGAGTTGTAGATTTAGCTCACTTGGGGTGAGATGGATGCAGCTCGTGTGCTGTAGTGCAATACTGTGCAAGAGGTTAAAAAATGTGGAAGCTGTGATAAATTCTGAATTTGTGCTGATCTTGTTTTGAAAGGAATTTAAAACTGCGGATCGTGCAATTTTTTTTCGTGCAGTTGGGCTGAAATAGGAGCTGTGTAATGCCCTGTTTTAAGTGTGATGAAAGCCAGCCTGGTGTTCCTTCAAACATCTCCAACACCAGAGCTGTGCTGTAGCTCCTGAAAAACACTGCGCAGTTACCTATATTGACAGAAAATTACTCAGCACGCCTTT